GCTGGAGGGCACGGTGGTGTGTGGGGGCAGCAGTGTTGCTGGAGGGCACGGTGGTGTGTGGGGGCAGCAGTGTTGCTGGAGGGCACGGTGTGTGTTGCAGAAACTGTACAAGCTGGCGATGGAGGAGGAGAAGAAGAAGGGCTACGACCTGCGGGCAGATGCCATTCCCATCAAGTCAGCCAAAGCTTCTCGGGACATCGCCAGCGATGTGAGTGCAGGGGAGCCCTCGCAGCACATGCCAGTGCTCAGTACTTTCTCACTCCAAAGTCTCTGTGATTTCACCTGCTTTATTTTGCTGCTGGTGTTGCCACAGGGGCTGCCAAGGGCATAAAGGAAAATGGAACTAAAACTCACTGAAGATTTGTTTTCCTGCAGTACAAGTACAAGGAGGGGTATCGGAAGCAGCTGGGCCACCACATCGGGGCCCGCAACATCGAGGACGACCCCAAGATGATGTGGTCGATGCACGTGGCCAAGATCCAGAGTGACAGGGAGTACAAGAAAGCCTTTGAGAAGACCAAGACACACTTCAGCAGCCCTGTGGACATGCTGGGGATCGTGTTGGCCAAGAAGTGCCAGGGGTTGGTCAGTGATGCCGATTACCGGCACTATCTCCATCAGTGGACTTGCCTGCCTGACCAGAATGATGTGATCCATGCCAAGGAAGCCTATGACCTGCAGAGTGATGTGAGTACTCACTAATAAGCTCTTCATTACTAAAGATTGTAATTTCCTTGGAATAGAAACTACAGAAGCTGCTCTCATCCAGTATTTTTCCACATTGCTTTTTTCTTTCCCTATTCCAAGTGAAGTCCTTAGAGTTTGAGTAGAGATTGAATCTGTATGTAAGGGAGTTTGGTCATTAGGAAGGTTTATAAACAGCAGAACAAGCTGCACAGAATCCTTCCCAATAGACAATCTCAATCCATTTATATGCTGATTAAGGGCTTGTCAAGAGGAAATGGTGTAACTGCTGCCTTTATATGTTGTGACAGAACTGCTACAAGTCTGACCTGCAGTGGCTGCGGGGCATTGGTTGGGTCCCCATTGGATCCCTGGAAGTGGAGAAGGCCAAGAAGGCCGGGGAGATCCTGAGTGACAAAATCTACCGCCAGCACCCGGACACCATCAAGTTCACCAGCATCCCAGACTCCCTGCCCATGGTGCTGGCCAAGCAGAACGCGGACACCATGAACAAGGTGAGTGCTGGCTGGATCAGTGCCACATCAGCAGCCTGTGCCTGAACCCCAGGGACAGGGCTGGGACTAAGATTTGCAGATTCCAGCACAGTGAGGCTTCACAAGTGTAAATCCCATTCTTGGTAATCACCAGGTAACGTATTTTCATCAAGTGGTAATTTAACAATATCTTCCAAGTTACTGAGCTAATTCCCAGTTATCAGCTGGGAAGCTTTCCAAAATACTGTGCTGTGTGTCTAGTAATGTGTTACCTAACTTCCATCTAATTCTGAATATAGCAATTTGTCTGATAAATCAAATAATTTATTAAATTTACCTCATAATCTAGAAGTTAATAAATTCCTTGTCTTTGAAATACCCATATTTTAAACAATTCAGCACAGTACTTAAAACAGAACCTTTGGCCCTGATCTCAATCCTATTTATATCAATAAGCTCATTTTCTCTTTCAAACAGACCTTCTTATTCGAGTTTAGATCTCTGTGTGTCTGATTAGCATTCTCTGCCTTTTTTCTAAACATCTTTCTCACAGAATCCTTTCTAGGCTGTTAATTTTTAACCTGGAATTTACATATCTAGAGGGGTGAACTTAAAAATTCATGGCTGCATAGGGAACGAGGATTTTTTAGACTTTGGGCACAGATCTGTAACTCTCCTTGTGTTTTAGGAGATCTCTGAGTAGTCACTGGGTTTTTTTCCCCTTTATCACATATAATTTCTCCTGCAGCGTTTGTACACTGAGGCCTGGGATAAGGACAAGACACAGATCCACATAATGCCCGACACTCCTGAAATCACACTGGCAAGAGAGAACAAGAAAAACTACAGCCTGGTGAGTGTGTGAGCCCTGCAAATGGATCTGCTCTGTGCCAGGGCTGCACTAGGAATGTTCTGGTGAACCTTTTATAGCTGACACCCTCGCTTTCCATAAGTAAATCCCGTATTTATCCTCCAAAACGTGACTGTAAAATCCTCGTTTGCATATTTGTAGTAGTGCATACTTAGACCAGGGAGCACTACTGAGAGTAGATTCCATGGGAAACTAGTTGGGAAATTTTGGGGAGTCATTTCTGCCAGTGTTCATATCGTTAGGAAGGCACAAAATTAATTCCAACACTGAAAATACCAAAAAGATAATTTCAATTCCGAAAAGCTGTGATCCCAGCGTTCAATGTTATTTTAGGCAAAAAACCCTCACATTGGTAAAAGGTGGCTTTAAAAAGTAGGTTTTACTCCCCTTGAATAGCAGAATAGTTTAGCTCTCAAATTGTAGTCAATGGTATGTTATTTAAAGTTGTAAAAGAAAAATTCATAAACAAATGTATTTAACAAAATCCTCCTTTGACGTGAGTTGGTACCAACTATTGATATGGAGCTCTGACTTAAATAAAGCTGAGTTAAAATAAATCATAACATAATTTTTCAATCTGCTTCCAAGCAGTTTGTTTTGCATAGAATATAACATGTGGAACTTTTATGAATCCCACTGTTGAATTCCTTCCCTAGAAACAATACAGACAGGCCATGGAAGACTCAAAGAAGAAAGGCTACGATCTGAGAATCGATGCCATCCCCATTCAGGCGGCCAAGGCATCCAGGCAGATTGCCAGTGATGTAAGAATCCACCTTTTTGTTTCTCTGTATGTTGACATCTCAGCTCTGCAGCCTGGGAGTTGTCAGAGGTGAGCTGGAAATACAACATCTCGTTTTGCATTTCAGTACAAGTACAAGGAGGGGTATCGGAAGCAGCTGGGCCACCACATCGGGGCCCGCAACATCGAGGACGACCCCAAGATGATGTGGTCGATGCACGTGGCCAAGATCCAGAGTGACAGGGAGTACAAGAAGGACTTTGAGAAGACCAAGACACACTTCAGCAGCCCCGTGGACATGCTGGGGGTGGTGCTGGCCAAGAAGTGCCAGAGCTTGGTGAGCGACATCGACTACCGGCACTACCTGCACCAGTGGATCTGCCTGCCCGACCAGAATGACGTGATTCACGCCAGGCAAGCCTATGACCTGCAGAGTGATGTGAGCTCCCTTTTATGTCATTTTTGGGGAACAATGTCTTTGATACTCTATGCAGGTGGCTCAGACCATCACATCCTGATGTGGTGGAACCGACTTTTCCTTTTTAAGTTTCATGGCTGATTAAAACTCAGATCTTCAGGAGGATGTGCTAATTAATAGATACTTGAATGAGCTACTGTAATTCCAGACTGGGACTATTTGTCATTTTCATTCTGTGAAACTTGGGCAATGGTTTCACTGTTTATGTCCATTCAATGCAAGTTTTTTCCCATGATTTTCTCTGGGACCTTGAATTTATTTGAATTACTGATAAAGTTGATTTATCAAAGGTTATTTATATGTTAAAAGAATCACTATGCAAATTGCATTATTATTATTATTAGAATAACCTTTGTGTGTTTTTTGATGTGTTTTTCTTGTGACAGAACTACTACAAGTCTGACCTGCAGTGGCTGCGGGGCATTGGTTGGGTCCCCATTGGTTCCCTGGAGGTGGAGAAGGCCAAGAAGGCTGGGGAGATCCTGAGTGACAAAATCTACCGCCAGCACCCGGACACCATCAAGTTCACCAGCATCCCAGACTCCCTGCCCATGGTGCTGGCCAAGCAGAACGCGGACACCATGAACAAGGTGAGTGCTGGCTGGATCAGTGCCACATCAGCAGCCTGTGCCTGAACCCCAGGGACAGGGCTGGAACTGCACTGAGCCCAGGCAATGCTGAAGTGCTTTATTCATTCTCCTCAATCGATATGGCCATTTCCTAAGTGTTGTTAAATTCCCTCAGATGAATCCTCCCTCTGTTGATGTTATCTCTGCCTAATTACCTACCCTGTTATCCATTTTATATTTCCTATATTTTTCCCTCGTATGCTCCACGTTTACCCTGAATGTTGAGATGCCATATTTTCCCCTCCTTTGAAATGCCATGTTTGTCTCTTCCTCTCTTGCCTCTCAGCGTTTATACACCGAAGCCTGGAACAAAGACAAGACCTCGATTCACGTCATGCCTGACACCCCAGAAATCCTGCTGGCCAAACAAAACCGAGTCAACTACAGTGAGGTGAGGGAAACTGGGGAGGGAGACAGCTAAAGGGCTCCTGGCAAGAACAATTTTGTCATCTCTGACATTCAGTTCATATTAAAATATTATCAGGTTGCTTAGTTTCCCATTTTACAAATAACCAGTTCCAGTGCTAAAATCAGAGTTGTTCTTTCACCTGTGTACTTAATTAGCTTTTTAAAAGATATCATCTGCCATAATCAAGAAATCATTTCTACAGCCAGATATGGAAATAAATAATTTTTCTTTCCCTTCCCTGAATTATTTCCATTTCCCAAACGTCTACAATAAAATTACAAGGTCTTTGAAATCTGCATTTCATTATTTTCTAGAGAAAATAGAGCTGTGTTCAAGTTATCGAAGTTGCCTGAAGATCAAATATATTGTTTGGGGATTTGAATAGTTTTATGACTCAGATGTGCTTAACTGAAACGCTGTTTTGCTTTTGAAACTGAAATGTGATTTTGTTTTTCTCACAGAAAATGTACAAACTGGCCTTGGAGGAGTCGAAGAAGAAGGGCCACGATTTGCGTTTTGATGCCATTCCCATCCAATCTGCCAAAGCCTCCAGAGAGATTGCCAGTGATGTAAGCAGGGGTTTTTTATGGATTTGGAATACCAAAAAAGAATCTGAATGTTTGTTCCTCCCTTTGTTCATGCCCTACCTTAAATTATAGAATAGATAATATTGTATCCTAGATTCTAGCTTTAGTGCATGAAAAGGATGGGGAGCCAGTGTTTTTATACATGAGCCTTAGATCACTGAAATAAATAGATGGAATAATGTGAGGATTATTTATATGCCCCCTGCAATATGGATGTTCAAATGGGATGATCAAAAAGGCATTTGAGTCAGTGCCAGGGTTTGTCAAATTAATTTCAAAAAATATTCCTCTTCAAGTGTCGTATTCAAGATGTCTGAACACAAAAACGGGGGTAAAACTATGAAATCACTAGGACAGGTTTTGCTTCTGGGATGAGGCAACATCACTAAGAGAGGGAGAAAAACAGATTTTTATGCTCTTTCATTTTTTATCATAGTTGATATTACATATTGTATTAAGACCAACTCACACCATCCTCATCCAGGTGTTTTTTGTACAAAGGCTTTAAAATAAGTTAATCCTTATAATTTAGTCCTAATAGTAAACGAATGTGGAGTATCAAACTTATTAGAATGCTAAAAGTTTAAAAACTAAAAGTTAGTGAATTGAACCTGTGATATAGGTATATCAAAAATGTGAGATAACTATATCTAATAAAAGTGCCTTTTCTGTGAAGATCAATCCAATAGCGGAAAGAACTGAATAATATTTTTATCTCAACAAAATACTAATAAATATATTAAACTGATTGAATTATTTATTAACTTATCAATACACAGAGTGACTCTGAATCTCCTTTTCCTGCAGTACAAGTACAAGGAGGGGTATCGGAAGCAGCTGGGCCACCACATCGGGGCCCGCAACATCGAGGACGACCCCAAGATGATGTGGTCGATGCACGTGGCCAAGATCCAGAGTGACAGGGAGTACAAGAAGGACTTTGAGAAGACCAAGACCCGCTTCAGCAGCCCCGTGGACATGCTGGGGGTGGTGCTGGCCAAGAAATGCCAGAGCTTGGTGAGCGACATTGACTACCGGCACTACCTGCACCAGTGGATCTGCCTGCCTGACCAGAATGACGTGATCCACGCCAGGCAAGCCTATGACCTGCAGAGTGATGTGAGCAAACCCTTACCTTTGGAATCATAATTCAAGATACAGGGTCTTCTACACTCTTAATTTTTCAAATATACGTTATACGCCTGAGTCACTTCATTAGATTTGTTGGTGGAGGTGAAATGTTCATTACACCATCCCATTTCTGTTTAATTGTATTTCCTCAGTTCTTAACCTGAGGTGTAATTTTATTTCATCAAATTTATGTTTAATCCCATATTCCTCAGTCCTTAACCTGAGGTGTAATTTGTGTGTAACTCTGGTATTTGTGGTGTGATCCAATAACTCCATTCTTTCTGTTATTTAATCATTATTTTACTTCATCTTCACAAATAACAAGTGTTTTCAAAAGCATATCCTGCTACCAGGCAGAAACACACACAGCTGTTCATAGAGACTCAGATGTGCTTATTTACAGTTATTTTAACTCTGAATCACACTTGCACCTGTATAATGGGCTTTCAAATCCTTTCAGGCTGTTTACAAATCAGACCTGGAGTGGCTGCGGGGTGTTGGTTGGGTCCCCATTGGTTCCCTGGAAGTGGAGAAGGCCAAGAAGGCTGGGGAGATCCTGAGTGACAAAATCTACCGCCAGCACCCGGACACCATCAAGTTCACCAGCATCCCAGACTCCCT